ATTCCCAGGTTCTCAGGCGTGTCGCGGGGCGCTTCTCCCCTGTATGTCTGCGAGCATGGGTCTGTTGAAGCTCCGCGTGGGTCAGCATCCCAGTTCCTGAGGTTATATGTCAGTGCATGCCATACGCATAGGGCAGAAACTTCGCTTACGTCTCCCAGTTGCGGTTCACGTCGCGACCATAGCATGTCTGATTGGCAGCGTTCGATGGTGGCGGCATACGGTTCTTGCGCCATAGGCGGTCGTCTGTTTGAGAAAAGACGAAGCCTAGCATGTATTAGCAAAGACCAGTGGATCTATCCTTGGCGATGTGACATACCATCGGGGTTGACAAAGGGAAACATGTAGATGTCGTAGTTATCCAGAATGGCTTGGGTGTAGTTGTTGCCTGCCTTGTATTCGTAGGTGAGGGCCTTGGCGATATACTCGATGGTCATAGCAGTGATCCATTCACGAGCGTGAACAGTTCCGTGGTAGATGACCGCAGGCTTTCCTGGACCGTCTTTTCCATAGAGATGAACGCCGAACATGTCGCGCCCCTCAAAAGATGTTCCAGTGCTCGTCCAGTTCGAATTGTCTGGGAACGATTCCTGTAGATCGCGCCACCACGTAATGTGCTAATAATGGCCAGTCAGCTTTGGATCGAATAGCAGTGACACATCACCTACGTCTTCATACGGGTGGTAGCTATCAAACCAAGCGTCTTCTGAACCGTTAGTTTGCCTCTTCCAGGCCTTCTTGACGTGCGATTCCCGGGCGATAGAATCGGCGAGGTTCTCATGCAAGGTTCGGGACTTGAGCCCCAAAGCCTTGAAAGCGTCCAACTGCCCTGGTGCAATAAGAACATCCAGGTTTCCACGAATCTCGTTTAAAGTCTCGTGAGGAACAGCAGCAAGAGCTCGCTTTGCTGCAGCATATTGGGATCCAGTAGCTCGGACGCGATGGACTTGGTACCCATCATATGTACGAGGCTGTGGGCTGCGGATGGTCGCACCTGCAACGAGGGATAGCCAGGCAAGGCTGAGTACGAACTTCATGATGTTGTTCCGCCACGGAAGCGATCAATTGACGAGCGTGAGGTATTCAAGATTGTAGAAGATGGGCTTTATATAGCTGACCATCTTCCTCACCTAGGCGCATTTTAGTTTGCTGGCACCATGATAAGCACAAAGCGTGTTCTTCCAAGCCCTGACCATGGACATTGGCAGCTCAACGTGCGCACGGTGACATGATTGATGTTGCCCAAGAGCCCGGTTAATCATGGATGAGGTGTAATCGGGACGTTTCCCCAAGATGTGGTGGCCTTGACCTGCCAGTTCTGCACTAGACCTGCCATGGCATTCCTGGGCGAGGGGTAGCAACGTCATCTGCGGGCTTACTTTGTTCGTGAGCAAATACGTTATTTCGGTGGAGGTAAGCCGAGCACGTTCTGTCGCGTTGCGTCTACAGGCATAGGTTGCGGCGTAGCAGGCTGGGCGGAGTTGCTGCTCAGGCGGGCTCTAAGGCTGTCCTCCGCAAATTGCCCAAGTGCGACGATGTCAGGGCCAGGAACAATATAGTGAGATCTGAGCATCTCCAGGCAATCATTGTACCGAACGACCCTGCGAACTGGTCGTACTGTAATGCACCGACCCGGATGCCGCAAGGAAATGAGGGGAAGCCGCGGATAGAGTGAAGAACCTTGGAATAATCTCCGGACGGAAGCGGCGCTAGAGTGGAACCGGATAAGCGGCTTCCCCGACGGATTGGCCTCGAGTGCTGCCGCTGCCGACCCCATCCGTGACCCCAATCATCGCATCGCATCACATCACATCAGCGACTGCAGCATCGACCAAGATACGAATGCCATGGAGAACGGCAACTATTGTTTTCTTGAGGCCAACTGTTTGCCGACCAATACGGCCACCGCATGCTACAGCCAGAGCTTGCAGAAACATTTGCCATCCAGCAATCTAAAGTCGTCCGCAGACATTCAAGTATCGACTTTGCTAGCAGATGATTAAAGTGCAGTAATGTCTGTCATTAAGGTTGTTACATCGGAAACACAGCTCAAGAGCCAGAACCTCACGTCAAACCGTCTACATCGTTGGCGCCGGAGATTTTGCTTCATGCTACACGATGATGAGAAGCAATCGACAGGCCGGGATGTATATCTTGAGTCTGTGCAATGTCGGTTATCAGGTCGCATTCTTCGCATCACCAGAATCAGTCTGTCTTGAGTCTTCTTACGAGCATTGAAACAAAGAGTCGAACAATGTTCGACTCGACGTCTTTGTTTCCTTGTCGCCTCGGCCTCCACACACTCCTCTAGATGTGCGGTCCTCCTGTTGTATACACAGTGTCTTTAGTACACATAATGGCGAGTGAAAACAATACTGGCCAGCAGGTGCTGAACTTTCACTCCACCACGGTAAACTCCCCTTCTTTCGATTTGATATTATCCCACGAATCTCAACTTCAGTGAGCACAACTCAACTGTCTCACCCCTGACCAGCCAAAGCAACTGTTTTACCCTATACTCAGGCTGCATTGATACCATGTCTCCAATCACATTCACGCGGGACGAAGTCCAGGATATGCTCGACCGAGCACAATTAAATGCCGGCCATCTCTTCGCGAACCTCCCAGACGTGCGCGAACTGCTTCAAACACAGCATCAAGAGAGCCTGATGGAATGCAACTCCCGGGGTATTGATCAAATGAAGGTGCTTCATCAATCAATGCATGAGGAGTGCAAGATCATCGATGGCCACAACAAACACCGCCTTGGGAAGGCGAGAACCGCCTTCAATGATCGCGTTATCGACCCCATGATTGCTGTAGAATACAGGGAAGAAGAAAATATCCCTGCAGACCTCCGGTGGTATCCACTACACGCTGAGGTTGCAATCCACGATGGGTACGCTACAGCTCATCTCTTTGATCAGCCTGAAAGTGACGAAGAAGACTACCAAAACTATCCAGAAGACCAACCTGCCTTCATTGGAAATGGAAACGAATCCCCAATTCCTGTCGCTAACCAAGACATTGCTTCCAGTAAGATTGTCAAAAGGAAACCGATTCCCGAAGGAAGGAAATCCACAGGCCCCGGTAGCCCAAAATATGATAAATTGAAGGATGCGCCTTCGGCTTGGCTAGATCTTCCCCATGGCAACCTAACATTGGCAGAAACACTTGCTTTCATTCCGCATGCCATCAAATCCTTCGACATCATGGACCGTTTTCTCCACAATGGCGCCCTATCGGGGACCTTTGCAGACATGATTAACCATTACCGAGACATGCCGTACGGTCCGATCACGAACAATACGGTATATCGGATGATGAAGGGACCAATGCTCCATCGCGCGAAGACCGAGCCGACTTACGAGGATTGGACAGTATCCAAACATACGACTTTACCGAAACCTGCTGGATTTAATCCCACCAGTGTCAGCGTAGCAGGCTTTGCCCCACCTTACAACTTCAACTCCCGTGAAAGGGCTGTGGCAACCACTCAGTCCCCTCCTAGCATTCCATTTCGCGATATGGCAAACGGAGTGAAGATCATGCCTTCGGGACATGATGCGCTAGATCTTACACGATGTGTGCAGTATTGCGTGAAGAATAACGATTCGAGCTGGCAATATCCTCAAGATTTCCAGAACCTGGTTGCTCGACTCGGGGGTGCTTCTACTGTGCACCCATACCATCACGACGATGCTGCAATTCGGAGACACACTTCCGAGAAGAAGCGGAACAATGCAAAGCGAGCCGGTGCACGACAGCGTGATAGGAATGGGCGCCTCATGAAACAGCCGAAGAACTTGGTGGTTGACTCGGATGAAGAAGAGATACTGGATGAAGACTCTGGAGAGGAGTCTGAAGCAGATCTAGATAACTTCGATTTTGATGCTTTGGACATTGACGATGATGAGCCAGTCACTACCACTAAGCAGGGTTCGAGGCGTAAGAATGTCATGGAAGATGACACGTCGGACGAAGATGAACTCATGCCGCGAACCCGTAACTCGTCGAAACGCAAGCGTACTTTCAATGGAGACGAAGACACCTCACCTAAGCAAAAGTCCAAGCGCAGCAAGAAGACGTCGCCAAGGACACCTGCACGTCGCTCACCAAGAACCCGGTCGTCATCACGCCTTAGCAAAGAGGTGCTGCCTGAAGCGGACGACTCTGATTCTGATTCTGACGCTTATGCCGGACCCAAGAAGCGGACCAAGAAGGCCAAAGTTAGCACGCGATCGTCTCCTCGCGGCCAGCGCTTCGGTGGCTCATATGATATCCAGAACGCCGTAGATGGCGAAGAAGATGATGACGAAGAGGACGAGAATGAAGTAGAACACACTCTAGCTCCGAACAGGCAGATCCTTACTCCGGCGGAGATGCGTATGGTTGGCCGCACGGGGAACACGGGTGTAAACAACGTTGTCGAGGATGACGAAAGCGATATGGGAGAAGATGACGAGGACTTTGATTGGTGAGTTGAGAGCGATTCACGTTGGCGGCATTACGATGGAATGTAACATGTCTTTTCTTCGCGACAGTGCATCCTTCTAGGCCTGTCTCCTGTTGTGGCATCATATGGCATATATAAATAGAGTGAATAGGGCTATGTTCTTACGAAATACGCTTGCTTTTGTTGAATGAACAGTATTCTCCTCATCAGCGCACTGCTCACTGTGGTTCATCACGGTGAAAGCATGGTACTGTCTTCGAAGACGAATATGTTCTATGACCTCTCCGTCTTTCCCATTTGTGCCAATTTGACTGGCCCAGCTTCCAAATACGGTAGCACACCAATCTATTGCTGAGACGGTGAGAGTGCGCGCACTAAGTCGTTGCCTTGGCAATAACGGGCTCCACGCTCACTTTTGTCCCACCCACAAAGCCAAACTGAGTTCTCACACTACAGTCACACCCAATCATCTCTGCTACTTCAATTCAAATCATCTTACACGCAGAAAACAACATCCTGGAAGTACCGGCGACGAGCTGTCGGCATCATGGCTTACGGTTCGGTCGCCACGCTCAGCACCGTCGAGACGAGGACTGGCGGCAACGAACCTGCCGTACCGTCTTCGAGACAGCACAATAGGCTTCATGGCTATGGCCAACTTGTTGGCGTCTCCAGCGTTCCCCTCATCGGTTCAGAGCGTCCGAATGCTCCAGGTAAATTCCCCTCGAATCTACATCGATCTTGCACTAACTCCGCACAGTTACGACCATGCTCCCTCCCGCTGTCAACGTTCCGCAGTCTTCGCGTCCAGTAACTACACCAGCCGACGAGTATGCCAGACTTACTCGCAGGCAGCGCCGCGACGCCAGAGAGAAGAAGCGAATCCAGAAAGCCGCGCGGGCCGCTAGAGATGAGCTCTACAGGGCCCGACAGGTTGTCAAGGACGCTCAAGAAGTAGCCCGAGCTGCTAGAGTTCATGCCTCCCGATACTCTTATATCCCAGCTCCCAAGAACACTAGAGCGATCTCTTCGACTCCTCGTACTGTCAAGAGCAAGAACTCTAAGACCAAGTCTGCGGGTTCGGTCCATTCCGCTCCCATGGATATGGATGAGACGTGGTCCTGGATAAAGGAGAGCTCGTCAGCAGCCTCTCATGATGGCAGCGCGCGTGATCCTCGCTGATCTCCTGGGGCACGGTGATGGAGTGGATCTCGGGATGGCTGCAAGGAGGTTTTGTCTGTGAGGGACTATAACTTTGTTAACTAGATATCGTACATCGTGTATCTACGCTTGTAGAAACTCTGATAATGGGGTGTTCTGCGAAGTGTCAGTGACCTGAAAGCTTTGTCTTGCAAGTTACCAATCCAGCGGGCACTTCCGCTTCTTTGTCCCCCGAGGTGGACAAGCAATTTACAGCCCCGTCTCACATCTTAGAAAAGCAAAAATGTGAAACACACCATTGAATAGAAGATCCTGTGGGGCGAAAATCGTGCATTACATACACTGTGAAGGCTAGCGCTGGTTCGTAGCTGCCCAGGTGGCCTGCCGCCCACTTATGCAGCCGCGATGTGAATTGCGCCTGCTGTCTCCGGGCCCGCGCCCGCCACCCCCGCTTACTAACCCCAACCTGACTCCCAATATCAGCTGCCTTGCAATTTTCTTCCTGCTTCCTCCCTCTTATCTTGCGCTCTCATAATCGCGCTTCTCGCTTGTGATGCGCGTTTTATTTTGCGGCGGTAGGCACGGCGCTGCCGACGATGCCCGGGCCCGCTTTCGGCGATAGCGCCTACCTGATTGTCCGAAGAGCAAGTCACCACCCACAGCCGCTACTGTGAACCATGGAAAGCAGTCAATCGACACGCGCGTTTAGAAGGTCCTTACCGGGATACAAACCCTTTCTCCTTAGGTAACATCACACTCTTAATACTACGTCGTCGCACAATGGGGCAACTCTCTCGTTTGTCTCTCACGTCCACCACTGCCTATTGAGGTCATTCTCACCATGGTGAAAACGGAGGACGTGAGAGGATCATCGTATAGCTCGGCGTACAATAGCTTTGTGGCTTTACATCACCACCCCGAGGGTTCAAGACCTCAATGCGAGCCTTGGATCACAACTCAACCAGACAGTCAAAAGCTACACTCCGACAACGCCCACGACACCCACGACACTACACATTGCGCAAAAGAGCCACTATCACCAACTACCCGGCCGCCTCACTATGGCTCCAGCTCATTTACACTCACAGCGCGTTGGACACCCACGCAACTACGGTTTCCGCAAGTCTAAGAGAACAGAAGACGCCCACGCACTGCCCAGCTACCAGCAGAAGACTCATTTTCACGGCTACTTTCACGGCACCCCGCCACCCGATCCACCTCATATAGCGCCGATCATCCCTATACAACAAAGACGAATTCCGCTGGCGCCCTACTTTCATGAGAATGTTGCGATGAGTGCGCAGGCTGCGGCGTACGAAGATGCTGTCACCACGAGAGTCTGGCGTAACGAGTGGGAAGTCGTGCCAGAAAACTTTGGCCCATCTCGACCTCTACTCCTTCTCAACCGGCCTGCGAACGTCGACCTAATGAGTCACACATGGGAAACGGAGTCAGTTCATCTGTGTCACTGGGATCAATACCACGAGCCAGAAGGCGTGCTTTCTCAACGCCTGGCAAAAGAGAGAAGGGTTAGGAAAAAGAAGCTGCTCTTGGGAAACAGCAGATTCGAGCAAGATAAGAGACGCAAGAAGGTGAAGCTGGCAGCTGCGACTGCGGAGGTTATCGATTTGACTCAAGATAATACTGTTGAAGGTGGAAACTTCCCGAGTTATGCTGGCATCAAGGAAGTTTGGAACTATCCGCCAGGATATTTTCCCAGCTGAAAGGGTGTTTGAAGCTGCTAGGCCTCTGAGTCCGGCATTGGTACGCCTTTAATGGTGCCACATTCAGAAAGTCTTGGAGATATTATACGAGATCAGCATGAAAGCCAGATCATATTCACTTCCTTCAGAATGCCCTCGTTCTTCAATCTTTCCAAGGCGATGATTTTCGGCGCAGAAATGAAGCTCTCTTATCGAACATACTAAGGGATACGAAGCCATGGTAGAATAGGCTTCACCGCAACTGTCAGTGAAAGTTAGTTCACTCTCTTCGTATTCACTCTGCTTGCTGTTGCGCCTCAAGTATATCAACCGCTCTACTCTGCCCTTGGCACAGACCCACCACCTCGCAACTTACCACCACTCTCGCTAGAATCTACTAGAATTGACTGTAACTGTCCCGAAGATAGTATGAGTTTCACGGAGCCTGATACAGGCTACACGCCATTACCACACCGAAACGCAATGCAAGCGGGCCCTGGAGGTTCGCCTACGCCACATCAACTCCCTACAAAGAAGGGTGATGACACAGCAGTGCCAAAAGCTCCTGCGAGAGGAAAGCCTCGCGCTCAATTCCTGGTTGACATTCCGGCCCACGAGTATAAGCTACGTTGCGATAGACCAATCAATGCAACTCTCGTGGATCTGATCGTAATACTCCCACAATGGTTCCGCAATCCTGCTGTCGCATACCGCATGTTGAATAACGGCATCACTGCTGCAGTTCACTTTGCAATTCTGGACAAGCATCGTCACCTCGGCTTGGCCAGTTCCGAGGAAGGAGAGCGCGCCCGCGACCATATCTCGGACACATATCGAAAGACGATGCGCAGAACTTACCCAACCTGGACCAAAGCGAAGCATTACGTCCCAGGTAACTGGGATAAGTCGGTGATGTGCATCAACAATTTCCTTCCGGAAGCTGCAAAGAAAGCTGATTATGTTCCACCGCCGTCAATACCATTCAAGAACTTAGCGATTGGCCTGAAGAGTTTACCCCAGGATGACGATGTGGGCGATCTTACTCGCGCATTGAACTTCGCGCTGCGGTACCAGAAGCTTGATGAGCACGGTCAGATGACGGACTTTATGTTCCCGGACGATATCCAGCTCATTCTTAGATGCATTGGTCCCACTGAAACTACCCGAGATCGTTACGATGAGGCTGTCATAAGTCGGTACTCCGAAGCGGTTCGAGTGGCAGAAAGTGAGCGTCGTAAGCAGCTGAATGAACAGCGGCGCCAGCGACAGGCTGCCGAGGAGGAGGCTGCTCAGTCTGTTCCCTATTTCTACCCTGGTCAGCCTTCGCCGCTTGGAGCTTTTCCGATGGATCAACTGGCTCAACAGCAAATGCAGCCGACGGGCGGCTTCTCGTCCTGGGACGAAGGGTACAGCAGCATGCCTCCGACGGGAATGGGCGTTTTAATGCCGAATGCTGTACAGCATCCAACGGCGATGGAAGCCAACTCCCAAGATTTACCCCAGTGGCCTCCACAGATGCAGTCACATCCCCAAGAGTACAACGGGTTGAACTTCAATGAGCACAGCTATAGCCACCCACTCCAAGCGCACCCAGTACGATCGAGGTCGCAAGAGGCCGCTGCGGCAGTAGCATCAGAGCTCGTATACCAGGCTTCTCAGCCAGCCCAGGTAGACTTGCCCGCCATTCCCGATATCTGCATACCCGAAGGCTATGTACAAGACGACAACGCTTTCCCCGACTCTTGGCTATACCTCGATCCCCAGGAAGCAGCAGGGCAAATGGATGCACTCATGGCAGCAAACCAGACCTTTGACTACAGCGACGTGGAACGATTGGCGTCGACGTCGCTTGTGCCTCGGTTTTCTTATCATCCTGGCATGCGTTTGTTGGATTGTCCGGAGGCGCAAGACCCGAACAATTGGGGCGAGCTGGCTCGTGCGGCGCGGTGGGCGCGGTCCCATACGCATCCTTGTGGCCGTGAATTCACGGTCGGAGATATCGATGCTGTGTTAGCTTATTTTGAAGGCCCGGGGGCGCAGTTTGATCAAGCTGGAAGTTGATCTGCTTACCGGACTTTGAAGTGTCAGTGATCTGAGATGACACGTAGTTACCGTATCGTTAAGAATTCATGTAAAGGCAGAGAAAGTCAAGATGTAAACTCGCCTTGAGCGATACTGTTTCCCCAAGATGGAACGTCAATACACGTTTGAAATAGAATAACATCAGTTCTGTGACGTAGTTTTCTTCCGCTTGGTATGATATGCAGTGATTCTGACGTTATCTAGCATTGGCGCGTTTTGCGCATGAGTCTCTAGGGCTGACACGCATCTTGCGAGACGTCGGCTAGTACCCCTCCTTCCTTCTAACGTCAGCCTCAGTATAGAGCTATAAGATTAGCATGTATATTTGCCTATGAACTTACGACTGTTTTCGTACAATATATTTACTTGTCTGTGGTCGATACTTAATTACGAAATTGTACCTTCTCAGACTGCTTCGTCCAACCCATTCGTACCACCAATATGCGGGCTCTTCGCTACTATGGGACCGAGGACATGCGTCTGGAACACGACGTTCCAGAGCCGGTATGTGATGCCCACCAAGTGAAGATTCGACCTTCCTTTTGTGGGATCTGCGGGTCCGACCTGCACTTCTACTGCATCCCGGATGCTCTTCCTTTCAAAGACACGCCTCATCCGATCACCGGCGAGACATGGCCTGTAACTCTCGGGCATGAAGTTTCCGAAGACATCGTCGAGGTCGGAGCGCAGGTGCGCAAAGGTCTCAAGGTTGGAGACAGAGTGGCCATCCAGCCTACCATTTGCTGCAAGCAATGCGTTTCGTGCAAAGGCGGCTTTACCAGTTGTTGCGATTCGTTTGGGTTCGTGGGAATCATGGGTTGGGGAGGTGGGTTATCGGATCGGGTGTGCGTAGATGCGCAATTCGTGTTCAAACTGCCTGAGAAAATAACGTCAGAAATCGGAGGTAAGACAGTCGGGAAGCTCACTTGAGGTAGGGAAGAATACTGACAGATTGACGTAGCTTTGGTCGAACCGCTTGCAGTTGCTTGGCATGCTGTCGAACAGTCGGCCGCCAAAGCAGGGGACAACATCTTGATTGTCGGCGCCGGCCCGATTGGTTTGGCCATTCTCCAATGCCTGAAAGCCTTGGATACTGCCCAGGTGATCGTTGCTGAAGTTGCTCAGAATCGAAGGGACTTAGCTCTACGTTTTGGAGCTACGGCGGCGATCGATCCGACGGACGAAGATATGGTCGCCAGATGCAAGATGCTGTGCAATGACCAAGGCCCTGACATTGCTTTTGACTGCGCTGGAGTAGCTGCCAGTATCAAGTCCGCGTGTCTATCAGTTCGAAGCAGGGGAACGGTGGTGAATGTTGCCCAGTGGGGCAAAGAGATCTCCTTCAACCCGGACAACCAGTGAGGATTTCGAGCGAGTTATTGACGCGCTGGATAAAGGAACGATCGATGCTGAGAAGATGATCACGCGTACGATTTCGATGGATAGAGTGGTGGAAGACAGCATTCTCGCGCTGCTACACGAGAAGGATAAACACATCAAGATACTCGTCGATGTCAGAAAGTAGGAGTACTGCTGTCGGATAGTAAGGTTGATGGCATGAAGGCAGGAACGTCCGACGCGTGAATGACGCGTGACAGGAAAGCGGGGACGGGTGGCGAGCACGGGCCATGATACCGCCAAGATCTTCACGCCGGTCGCTTCCTCTCGACGTTCTCTACTTTCCCTTGCAAAGGCTGATCTCTACTGGACCTACGAGATGCTATGGCCGGAGCGATGTATATAGCCGGTCGTTTGAGCCTTGTCGTCAGCATGGTAACATTGGATCTGCGCAGCCGACTGTCCAGATACCTCCGAAGTTTCCTGTCAAGCGTTGGATCGACCTTTGCGACTGTCTCCAGACTCAAGTTCGCACCATCTTCTGGCAATACGGCTTGGTGACATGAACAAGTGGTAGCGGTGAACAGTGGGACTCGTTTATGATTATTCCTCAGGTCGTGTGATCGTTACTAGGATCTGAGAGAGCTAACAGCTCAAGTAGCTATACCGATGTTTCCTCGATGTCTATGAAGAGACTCCTGATCTCCTTCGCTTGCATCTCCTGTTATGGTTTCCTGCAAATCCGATTCATCAGCGCGATGCTGCAGCCCCATCGGTTTGAGCCACAAGTGACTTGTGTCATCGTCGAGCCGCTCGAACCCGTCGTCGCTGACAGCTTTCGGCCCACTGGACTTGGACTCAGCATTCGATGACTTCTTTTTCCCCGACGCGTGAGGTGTTGCTGCGGAGCGACCAAGAAGTGGATGCATCAGAGGCACGCATGCGAGGACTACGGCGAGGCATGGCTCCAGGCCACTGAAGATATTGGCTTTGGGGATAGTATAGGTGATATCGGTAAAGTCCATGCTGGATAGGACGGAGATGCGGAAGGCGCTGACGATACAAGTACTGCTTCGATTAGATCAGAGCTGACGACAGGATCTCATTCGGACTCACAAAATACCCAGGCCGAAAACGGCGACGAGAGTCACTCTTTTGTACGTCGCCATTTGCAGTCGATACAACGGACGCATGGGCAGAAGAAGCACCATGACGTCGGTGACCAAGTTGATGACTCCGGTAATCGTGAATGAGGTGACTTGATCGCCACAGCTTCCTCCAGGAATAGCTTTATCCCAATTGTAGGCGAAAGGCCGGCAAATCAGACAGCCAGCGAGGATGGTTGCGATTGTCCAAGCAACGATGATGGACATGGTCACGTAGGAGCTCCAGACCACCCATCGGATCGGAAAGATCAGAATATACAGAGACAGAATCGAAATCTTGGTACAGCTAAGACTCAGAACCCACAGAAACTGCAGGGGTATGATGAGCTGCGAGAGCTTGGTGATAGGTTCGAGGCCGTACGCTACTACAATGTTCTGGACGTGATCGTAGCCAATGCCGGCATGAAAGACTCCAGTAATGCTGACAGTTTGCAG